GATGTAATTTCCTCGACTTTCCTACAAATATCACATTTATTAATTGCATTTCAGTAAGGCGGCTTAATATTCGCACACCACGTCAAACGTTTCCGGAGAGAAGGAACTTTGTGCGATAATCGGTTCTAATGCATTACAGACTTCTCTTTAACAAAATTCGCTACTCCAGCAATACGACGGAATTAACCTAAAATTAGCAAAAGCAATAGTGATGCGCACCAGATGGCCAGCAATGCCAATCGTTTTTGCTATGAGTTATTGCGAATACCCAGCGGATGAGCCAGTATTTACAGAGGCTCGTCACAGTGAACTCTTAATAGATTCACTGCACGAAAACCACCGCAGTTTAAGATTTATGAGTCATTTCCTGCAAAGTTATCAGCTGGATGTGATTAGAAGCCAAAAACAACTTCTCATTAAAGCAGTTTCTAAGTTACACAGTCACCCTTATGCGGTCAATTTTACTCACAAAATTACGAGTTTCTAGCTTTTCCCGTTCCAAAATTATACGAATAGCATGAAAACGGAACTGCTTTGCAGATCTTTTTGCTACAGCGAGGCTTAGGATATGACAATTAGTTATACTGATTGTATTAGGTGAGAAGCTAATCTTCCAAAATTCCCAGCAGACAGTTTTCATGCTGTTAAATTAACCGAGATTTGGATCTTAAACTGAAGTTTATAACAAGGAAAGAAATGTAGGATATTGGTCGATTCGTGCTCAGACACCATATCTCTAAATTTTAGCTTTCGGGACTTGAATTACCCAAACGGTCGCACACACGCTCATACGTCTGCACAGACAAGCTTTTGCTATAATGCAAAGTGCATAGAAATGAGGCCGGATGACGTAGCACTTTAAAATTCTACCAAAAAAAGTTTCTGGGGTAATCATCCGGCAGTGGCTGTGTGTTTTGTGGCTACTATTCATCCTCTCCTTCTAGCCTCACTTTACTCTGGACAGCAAACGCAAAAGATTTTTTACAAGCGTCAGAAAATGATGCTAAAATTCGTCACAAAGATGGTTACCTTGAGTTTGTTGAAATTCGCTTTGGACATATCGTGCAGGATTTTAAAGAGTTCTGGCGGATGTCGCATATACTTAAGAAATGTAAATTTGCTCGAGAGGTTTTCTGTGCTGTTGTCAAATAGTGTGAGGTTTGCTTTTCCAACAAATGACGAGCTTAACAGATCTGATGCCGTCAAATCCGAGACTCCTTCACTTTTCTCCTGCACTGGACCGGTTGCAAATACGCTTGCCAATACTCCGATGAACAAAATACCACTGACAACACTTGGTATCTCAGCGAGCATGTTTCTAAAAAAATTTTTTTTGCTCATCGTTACTTTTTCCAGCAAAGTGCTAGCACGAAGTGTCACTGACCAAGCTCAACTGGGGTTTTGGAACACTATGGCCAAACCGTACAATGCAGTTTCATGGTACATTATTATTAGAAAGGGCAGTTCAGGCAGTATTTTCAGGACCAAAACCATTTGCTCTGGCATTTAGAAAAACGAATTCGTTTATTTAAATTTGCGGAACACAGAACTAAGTGTCCAAGAATAAACAGAAAATTATGCCGCAATTTTCGAACAAAATATTACCGTGGATGTTGAAGGCAATGGTTCTAGAGCAGAGGCAATGCTGTGTGCTGTAGATTATGACCGGCCAACTATACTTTGAATATTACTGGTTCCGGACTGTCTAACCACAGGAATGGATGAAGGCAACGGTTCTAACACAAGGCAATGTGTGCTGTAGATTATGACCGGCTAACGATACTTGAAATATTATCAGACTACCCAGCCAGAAGAATGCTGCTTGTGCATGTCATATCAAAAGAGTGTTAGTAGCCATAACTCCAGCACGGAGCAAGCCAAGGTTCGACGTACTGTACGCGCTGAATCGTACTGTAAATGGGAATTACATTCCCATTTCTTTTTGTGATTGTTCTTTTGTAATCATAGATTGTTTTTCTAATCCCCTTCCCTCCCAAAGGTTGCAAAATTCAAATTCTCCAGGTCAAGACATCGTAAAAACCTCCCCATTTACCATTTATGATCCTGGCCCTAAAACCCCAATTCTCCCTTTAATAATCTAATCCCCCCTTGTCTCCACTACTTCGATGACCCTGGGTCTCCTCTCCCCCC